CTTCCTTCCTTCCTTCCTTCCTTCCTTCCTTCCTTCCTTCCTTCCTTCCAATACAATACATATTTTTACAATATGTATTTTATTGTATTTACTAAAACCAAGAAAACAGCATATAAAAGCTAATTCACTATAATACAGAGTTATTTATACATGTTAAGAAATCACATAGGTTTCAAACATTAGTTTTTGCAGAGTTGCATGTTGGTGCCAAAAGTCAAATGACCATCTCAGGAAACAGCCATATGAAGACCTTTGCCCTCATATGCCTCAGGCTGTGTCCCCCAGCGGGACCCAACCACAGTTCTTTTTGTATTGAAGCCGTTGCTAATCACCTGCACCGTTAAAAGAGATTGAGTGATTGTCGCTGGATGCTTACTGTCAGTGAAAGGGAGTTTGATTCTTTGAGTTCTTTGTTTGAGGCTCTACAGATGCCCTGCAGCAGTTGTCTTTCACCACAAGTTCTGATCTTCCTGTTGGTCCTGTGGTGTCTTATGATTGCTGTGCCTTATGTCACATGTTGGGACCACTTCCCCTGAAGGAAAAATGCATTTTGTTTTACATACATATATAAGATTTGGGCTTAAATAGCTTTAAGTGACAAAAAAATAATGACCTATAAAGTCATGTTCATAGGGTGAGAAGTTTAGAATATCTGCTAGAAGTCCTTCTCCAAATATAGTCCAGATTCCACACAGGCAGCACTTCATCTGAGAAGAGCTGGCAGCATCATGAGATTATTTGGCTCCAGCTCAGCTGAATAGTATTTCATTCACCAAAACCCTTCCCCTCCGGTCCACTGTGGACTTAGTGGGGGCCACGTTTTAACAAGGCATCGCAGACATATAAACTGCTGCAACTACTGTCAGACGGCATGGCTTCTGTCCAATTCTTAACAAGCCCAGACACTGAATAGCCCCTAGTGTTTTCTTTTCTTTCATGAAGCTAAATCACATTGCAAACCAAGCAGCTTAGGAAGGATTATGCATGCAAATGTTTCCAAAAGCTTTTCTTTTTTTCTCAAAGGTCTGTCCAAATATAACCCAAATAAGAAATATTTAGATGTCCTGTATGTTATATTATGAAAGATGATATAACTTTAATGCATGTAGTTTTTTTTGTTTATTATAAGTACATAGGAACCGTACACAGTCTTGCTGTGGTTAA